ATGACAATACTGCAGTTCTGACAAAACAGGTGGTTAACGTGAATCAATACATTAAACGCGAACGAATATTGCTTGTGAGTGGTAAAAGTAATTTATATTTATTATTATTCAACTTGATAAACTAAAACTAACGTTTTATTCATTACCTATTAAATGATAAACACAGTTGAACGATTTTTATAATTGGTTCTTTATTTTTTACTATTCACAAAAGGCATAATAGAATAATAATTACATATAATAGTGTACAAAGACGAGCTTATCTCTAAAGGCGATCTCCAGTAAATCTTATATTAGATAAACTGATAATTTAATCCTAGTTTAAAATTAATAAATAAATAGTATAAATTCCTGATACATTCATTAGCTTTCTGCACTAAAATATTAACTGGGTATAAAACTGTATTAATCATAGAACAAATTTAACAAAAAAGAATTGTAGATTATTTGAATTATTATGACTGCCTATTTTGTAATTTTTAAATATTTAGTATGCTAAACAGTATTTAATTTGTTTATCACATTCTTTTATGGTATTTTTGATAGGCGAGAAAATAAATATTTCAAATAATTAATTCAAAGATTAAATAAACATAAGTAATGCAACTTATATTTTATTGATATTAAATATGTTTTTTATGACATAAATCTACTCTGTATATGATTACGACTATTCCGAAGCTGTTTATCAATTTGAACTATAAACAAAACGCGTCCCGCTTTTGAATATTGTAATAAATAATTAATCACAGAACTCTATTCATCATTTACTTTGAGTACTGTATAGATTAACATTCTTTATAAGACACAGTTTCAGATTTCGTGGATTAGATATGCAAATTTTAATGATAAATATGTCGTCTGAAGCGCTTTAAAAAAATTATAGTGAACCTGTCATAAATCGTCGATTTATGGAGATTAATGCAAAAATAAATTATTAGAAGTGTATCCACTCAATCGCCGTGTGTAGAATGGGCCACCCCGTGAGTGTCGCAAGAGCAGCAGCAGCAGCGTCTCTTAAAACATTACCCAAACCTAATTGCTGTTGCTAACCCGCTTACTAATTGTGGCAGCTACTGGCAAAACCTCCCAAGAGGGGAAGGTCTATGTTCAGCCGTAAACAGATAACTCCTAATATGCCGATATTTATCCAATTTGTAAATATTATTTTTATTTTTTTTTCCTCGAAACATGTTTCGGTATTATTATTATTAAACGGTGACGCAATATAGGATTGCACAAAATGTCAAATATTATTCACATAACAACTATATATATAATTCGTAGAAACGATTAATATTTAAACAATAAGAATGTATTAATATAAAAATGATGGTGCGGAATACATAATGTTGGCATTGCTATAGCAATCAACAGTACAATTGTGATTGTGCGTGTGCGTAACGCGTAGCTATGACTTGGTTATGATTTCAAAATGTCAAACGTGTGATGTTTGACATTTGAAATCAAAACCACTCTCTGTGGTTTGACTTGTATATGTACCTATATATTTGCATTGCGTCACAGAGTCATTTATCAAAGATCGCAACAATAGGTACCGTGTCATTTCTGAAACATTTTTGACACTATTCAGGAGAAATTATAAATATAATTACATACTTGTACAGTGGAAATATATTATTGAAATTTGAAAATCATTTTTCAATAATTCAACTGATAAGACCACTGTACACTCCATACCAGATGCTACGGCGTCAAAGGTATAAGTTCAAATCCTTACTGTTTCAGAATTTCATAATCACTCAATAATATTATTGGAATATGGCTTTCATACTTAAATTAATTTACTGTTAGTAAATTACTAAATTTCTACAAATGTTACAAATTAATTTTTGTGTATAAAATATGTTGCCTTTAAATATATACTAGTACGTACTCTATAGACTTAAAATATGTTGTCGTTTATAAATCAATGAAAAAGTTCCCAATTAAAATTGTACTAATTTTAAATATGTACCAAAATTTTGTCAGCCAAACGCCAATTTAACTGACTAAATTTTGACTCATTTTAGCACTTGATGTTCTATTCCATAATCAAAGGGTAGTATTACCTAGCAAAATACCTAACTAAAAATGGGGACTAACCACTGGGCTTATTTCGCCAAATGGATCTAGGACAGTATATAAAACATGCCACGCTCCTGCAACCATTGTGTCCCCGTTGCGAATTACCAGAGCGGAAAAATTAAGAAAAGTTTTAGTTTGGTAACGCGCTCGAGGCCCCTTGATGTTGCACATATCAATTCATAGACAACGGTATAATCACTTATGTATCATCGGTCGTATTGTAACATATGTACATATAATGATATATTCTTTATATTTATGCACCCTTTAAATGCTCACACAGCATTTTTCTCTTATCGAGTAGCTTTTTTCAAACTCAGTAGGAGGGGCACATTTTTGAAGGATATACTATTCATATACTACCTATATTATACTGAATTGAAAAATATATTTTTGTTACGATCTCTATAAGTATGACAAAGATAACGAAAAATATCTTATGAGTGACTGATCGAGTTGACCATTAAATTTGTACATTTTTTTAAAAAATGATTAACAATTCAATAAAGATTTGACTGTGAAAAACTATTAGATTGACTTCGACTGTAAAAATGTCACTAAATCCAGTTTTTTTTTTATAGTAATAGCCATTTTTCACTTGTACTATACTACTACCCAGAGTAGATTCAATATGTGTATTTGTTATAATATAGTAACTACATTATTTGACTACAAAAGAGACAGATACTACGCCTCCACTAGATTGCATAGCACATTATACTGTCAATCCATAATCTATGTAGGAAATGGCTAGAGAAAATCGTGTGTTGCTCGCTTCGGTATCTCAGCGCTTGTTAAACTCTATTCTAAAAGCTAATAGACATTTCAAGCATATTTGAATACAATGGGGATAGACTTCTACGATTACGTTAAATAACCATTAATGTTTTGGAAGAAACGATTATAAATTGTATGTTTCATGAATAAAAATAAAGATGGGCAGGCGAGCTTACCGCCATCTCTAGAATAAATTTATTACCTACGTTAATATTATCGGAAAGTAAATTTTTAATATTTCTACTTTAAAAAAGTGCTAAGTATTTTATTACATTTATTAGCTTAATTCTGCAACTTTGCCTGCGTGAATTAGTGTAATTAATATCCTTAATATTATAAATGTGAAAATGAGTTTGTATGTTTGCTACTAATTGCCGTCTTAACCACTCAGCTATTCATCATAAAACTTGTTAAAATAAACAAGTAATATTTGAGACGGAGAAGGATATAGATTACTAACTTATCCAGGTCACGCAGACGACGTTAAGGGTAATAACTAGTATGCTATATTAATCTTAACGAAGTTTATAGTCAGCACTTTATGTTAAAAATAAAATGTAAAAAAGTAAAAATGGAACACCTAAAAATTGTTACAAATATATAACATTTTCCCACCAAAATCGAATGAAGAGGAAACTTATCTTGCTAATATTATAATTGTGAGAGTTTGGAAATATGTTTGAATGTTTCTTACTCAGTCACGTTTGAATGACTGAACAGGTTTAAATAAAATCTATCCGTGAAAATTTTTAATAAAAATGGTTCACGGATAGGTTATATCTTTACTTAACACACGTGATATTTTAATCAGGAGTGCAAAGGCATGGAAAACAGCTAATGCAAGTATAATAAATACAATTCTATTCAATGTATTTTCTTACGGTCGTCGTCGTCTTAGTAGTCGTCATTAGGATAGACCCCCTCACGAGATAATTTCATGTAGCACGTTGCTTTCAACTCACGACTATAAACGCAATAGCAACAGCGTGCCAGCCATCTATAGTGCTTTCTACATGATCGCAGTTGCATTAGCTCCATTGTGAACATTTATACATCTCCACGATTTATGAGATGAACAGATAAGGCGAAAAATCTACTTTAACCATGCGAAAGATATCCAAAATATTGAACACAAATGTTAGAAGTTTTTTTTTGATGGATGAGAATGGAATCGTAACCCCGTCTGCGCTATTGGTATATGATGGCGGGGCACTACTAGCCCATGTAACGAATTCTATATGAATTAGCCACAATGGTTTCCAGAGGGGACCGCGTGGAGGTTGATCTGATAGAGTAGCATATATTGCTAACAATGGGGCTGTTAGACCTTATTACTAATGATCAATTTCTCTCCGAAATACGAATAGTTATCACTAAGCATAATAATAACGTATTGTAAATGTAAAGGTAAAATTTTAGAAAAATATTAGAACAGGTTTAAAACCTGTTCAATGGCGCCTGAAAATTGAGTATTTTAAAATCTAAAATATGATTTTATTCTTTATAGCTTAACTGAAATAAAAATTTCTTTTTATTTTAATTTAATTCCATCATTCCATTCATTTTACTAATGTGACAGTTTGTAAAGATGTTTGTATGTTTGTCACTAAATGTTAACACTTAAACGACTCTATCCTAGATTAACACATTAAATACTTCAGGTATTACAACATACTGTCAAAACCGCTGAATACTGCTAGGCTTACATAAATATTAATTTATATGTTACTCCTGACGTAACTTAAATACGATGTTTGAGTAATTACGACTTGTTGCTCATTGAAAACTTAAGGCGTTCACGTTTGGTTTTCTCATAGTACATTTTACGTTTTCTAAAAACATTACTGAAGTAATTGAATTGATAACTATCAATAATAAATGTCAATAAATAATTATATACAAATATTTTATATGTTTGAATTTCGTAACTATGTATTATTTGAAGTTATTCTAATAAAGAGAGTAAATTTTGTATGTCAAAGAAAATTTACTAGCTCTCAGCTGTGGTATGGTAAACACCATTAATAAACTTAATTATCCCGTGATGCAGCAATTCAGTTATCTTTGAAACATTGATTTATAACATGTTGTGTTTAGTATACATTGTTAAATATTTATTTTATTTTCGATTTCAGAGTGGGGCGTCACAAGTGAACCGGGCGAGGCGAGCGAACCGGAGGCCGGTCGTATGCGTCCCGAGGACTACCGCCTCGTTTTCCTCAGTTCAGACTCCTCTTGCCGCGAGGATACTGAAGACTCGTCTTCAACGGCGTCATCCGCTGCGCCGCCCGCGCCCGACGACTGTGACTGGGACTATTTCGAACCGGGCGCGGCGGCGGCACTACCTCCACCACCAACCACAAAACATACACCACAGGCCTGTCCAAGACCGTGTTCGTGTGGTGCTGAACCACGAATTGTTGCTGTACCAGTCCCAGTGCCAGTTCCTGTACCCGCCGCGCTTTGGCCTACTTTACTCGCCTTCCCAACACAACCACCACCGACGCCACACTGGAATACGTATCCCGGTTTCCCACCTCTAGATGCCGCCGCCCTCGCACGTCTCACTACGGCTGCCGCCGTCGCTGTCACTGCCGCCGCCACAGCCTCCGCCACCGCCTCTGCTTTACCACAAACGCAAAAACTCGAAATGACCACAATAGAAAGGACCGATAAAGCGATACAGTCCGAAACGTCACTAGCACAGGAGCCCCTTGATAAAGATAAAATTGATAACGTTATTGAACAATCAGTCAACCGCGAATCGCCAGTCGAAATAAAGGTGATAGCCGAGGAGGACTCTTTATGTGCATTATCAGAGCACGCGGACGTTATGCCAGAGCACTTAAATGCAGAAAAAGCCTTCCACTCATCGACTGAATCAAGAGACTCCAGTGATTCCGAGGGAGGTATCGCCCGAAGAAGTTATGACGTGACTAGTGGTGCCCCTGATGAGCCAGCGACGTCAGACGAAGATTCCGATGACTCCGGAGGGGGCGGGGGACGATTCTCACGTGTATTTGTGGTAAATCCTGTCGACTCCTCTTCAGATATGGAAGACAACGGAGATAGCAGCGGGATTGACTGTGACGATTCCTACGATAAAAAATCGGATAGCTTAGAAATAATTGCTCTTGAAGTGGCAGTGCAAAATGAGGTCAATAGTGCGGAGCGAAATAATGATAATATTTCACAGGATAATGATAACTGTAATATAGTGCTTTTAGATTCAATAAATTTTACACAAGAAAATCCGGTAATTCCATATGAAAATAATAGTAGCGAGAACAGTAGTGAAAATGGGGTAAAAATGTCAAATTTTATAAAATTTTGCGATGAAAATATGCTTCGAAGTGAGACTTGTGAGGAATTCAATAGTTTCAATGCAAATTGCAGCACGTATAGTGATAATTTTGATAGTAAGAATTGCCTAGATAACGATAGTATTCGACTTAAAAGTGTGTCAAAGTGCAATAACTACGATTCATTAGATAATATTTCCAATACAGAAAGTAATATGAAAGTAAAAGTCTCTGCGGAGTTGCCTAATGAGAATTTTAATAATAAGAAAATAATTTCTAATGAAATTCCATCCGATTCATCGACGCAATTAGCACCTTCGCCGGAACCCGAGTATGATAATCAATCAAGTTCACTGACCGAAGAAAAAATAGATCTATTTAAAGGTATCGAACGTACACTTAGCGAATTGTTAAAGAAAGAATTAATGGGGGATCAAGAAGAGGAGAAAATGAACGATGCGCGGCCGGTTTGCTCGGAGGAGGCGGGGGGCGCAAGCGCACCTGCCGCCACAACAGTTTGCCGCTCGCGCAGCGCACGGACGGACGGTTCCGCGCGCTTCACTAGCCGCGTTATGATAACGCACGACTGCGTATCCGTCGTGACGTCGGACACGACGCGGCTTATGCGGGATATAACAGTGCATCATACCAACTCACAAAACGAACCAGAATCAAACACACAACAAAACGAAATCGAAGAACGAATATCCGACGACGAAGCGCCACAGCCTTCAAACGGAGTGACTGTCGTTAGTAATGCCGACACTCTCTCGGCGGTTGTGTGTCTCGAGGAGGGGCTTGCAGACGACGATTCGTGGGTCGAGGACGTCAGCCATGACGACGATGAGGCCACTTCACCTTCCGATTCCGATTCGGGAGATGAAGCGATGTTACCCGCTCGAGGGGAGGATTTTGCATATTGTAGACGTTCCATAGACTTCACTTTACACACAATCGTCGAAGAAAGTTGCGAAGAAAGCGAAACGGAACACACAACTAAGAAACAGCGACCTGTATCCGCTACGGAGTTAGAAAAATATTTTTTCTTTGGTTTAGGTGATGGTAGAAATATTCGAGACGATGAAGATCAAGTGTCTGAAACGTCAAGTGTGTGCAGTGAGGGTGGTGAATCTATTGTTGATACTGAGCAACCAAAAAGAAATAATGATAACGATGAATTAGCGTCTTCCCGTTTGGAGAAATATTTCTTATCTGGTTTTATGGGTTTTAACCAAGAAAGACGTGATTCTGACGGTTCTGGAAGTGTGGGTAGTGATAGTGAAGGTAAACAAAGTCCGGAACAACGACGTAAACGGTTAGTACGTGCACGAGGAACCCCGCGATCACATTCTTCTTCATTAGATAATTTATTAACTGGGGAAGAACCGTCCCAGGATGCCCAGGAAGTCTCAGATGGATCAAGTACGGAGACAGAGGTACGGCATGATTCGTCCGAACGACTTGACATACAAGGTGAGTCGAAAAGAAAAAAGCAAAATAAAAAAACACGTGGCTCGCCAGCAGATGAACGACGTCAATCGACAGAATTCGCAGAGGAAGCACGTGATGACACGAGGTCAGTTTCTGAGGGTGAAGACGGTCGGTCTACACCTCGTCCAGAGTTCCCACCGCTTGGATCTGAACTTACAGAATCCAAGAAGCAAGCAAGTAGAGATAGCGGATTTGTAGGCAGCTGTGATGATTTATTAAGGAGTGGCGATTCTAGTTCAGAATTTACTAGATCCCACGAACCTAAAATAGAATTAGAGGAGATTATCGAAGAAATAAGGCCCGATATCGAAGATCGTGTAGAGGGTCCCCCATCGTCCCATCCACCGCCAAGTTCTTTAACACGTAAGGATAGCTTTAATAATTGGTCCTCTGATGAAGAAACAAATCTTATGATGACGAAAATGCGCCAATTTTTCAAACAAATGATTAATTCTGCAAATATAAGAACTTCAACTCCAGCTTCATCTAATTCAGAAAGTTCGCGGCCACCGAAACCGCCACAACTTTTGTACTTTGAAAGTGAATTAACAAGACTGATGAAAACGGTACCCGGTATAAGAGACGAAGAGGTGCGTGAAATTGTAGAATATCTTTCCAGTGAAGATACATGGAGTGATTCATACGATTCATCTGATTACGCAGGATCCGATTTAGAGGGCACCGCAGCCAATAGATCGGCCTTAAGAAAGCAGATATCGGATAGTTGTCGGGAAATAATCGACGAATTCGATCGCGGAAATAGTGAGGCCGGGTCGCTAGAGCGTGATGCGGCTGGAGCATATCAAAGATTAGCAGCAACGTTGGGTCGGGCCGGCGAAGGTTCTCCACCATTGTTCGGAAAAGTTATGCGTCATATTGGCGGTAGGCTAGTTGCTTTAATGCATGATGTATCGGCTGGTGCATCTCCAAGTACCGACGACGATAGCGCATCAGAGCCAGGCGCATTAGCACGAAGTCGCTCCCACGATATCCTGGAGGCTACTGCGAGTAGAGGAAGTGTTGCTAGTGACAGTGAGAGGTTTTCGTGGCGAGGTAGTTTCGAATCTGCATTACTTGCGACGGATTCTCGGGGTACCTTGGGTGGCCCAGGATGCGAAGCACGGCGGTCTCCAGCTGGTGCTGATTTGGCAGCCCAAAAGTCACATTCAAGAAGCTGTGGAGCTATTGGTGGTAGTGAGGACAGATTGTGGCGTGGGAGGCGACGAGCTTCTGCACCAGACGCAGAGGTAAGTGACTATAATATATTTTTTATTAATTAATTTATAAATTTGTTTTACAAAAAAGTTGTTCGTTACTAAATTTGTACAGAATCAACACGGAAGCGAACCCTTTTGTTAAAAACTAATCACAAAAATTTATTCAAAATTTACACTATTCAAACTATATACAAATGTCCCGATTTCAAATGAATAGCCACTACTTTCACGCTTCGTTATAATCGTATTATAATGCATATGCAAATTAATAAAATATTTACTTATTGCATAAATGTGTATGTAATACACTCTATTATGTATAACAGAATGTGAAATATTTAACATTTCGTAACGTTAGTGATAGACATTGATAATAATGATAACAATTTATGTTTCCTCTTATCACCATTAAAAGAATTTAGAGCATAACTATTGCACGCAGCCAATGCTTTTTATACAAATATATACATATTTGGTCATTCTTTTTAATATATGTTTTGTTGATATATTTTATTTTGGTAAAGTTTTCCTATATCGTTGATTATTCACGAAGATTTGTTAATTTTATTTAAAAGAAAACTACCGCTGTATTTACCATAGCAGGTAGAAATAAAAATTATACGAATTGTTAATATTATATTGTAATCAATCTCAAAGAAAATTGATGATCAGAACAAGTTTGTACTTCATTCTCAAATGTATTTTTATTATAAAAAAACACACGTGCATTAATACTTTAAGTAACAACAAATGAGTATCTATAATAAGTTTAATATACATGTATGTTGCTTTCATTTCTGTAAAATCATATTTATAGATATATTCTACTTATTATTACCGTCACTAAAATTGCAATAGTCAAAATTGAAACAATTTAATTTATACAGGATTTTGACTCTGGAATACTTTAAATGTTTATTATTTATTATCCAAATAAAAATTGTTAATCATTCTAAGAAATGTGTTTGTTAACATCTAAATACAAAGTAATATAAATTTATAAAAATAAAAATTATATATCTTCAAACACAAAAACAAAATACTAACGTTACCCAGTATGGGACCAATACACTTTATTAGCAATAAGCTTTTCGATGGCAAAAAAATATCAGTATAATCAGTGTAAGATCATTAAAATAGGTAAAAATATAGCACAATATACTTACACACGAATTTACATATATAATTAATATTTGAAATTTTACTAATAAATTATTTTTGTTTGATAATGAAAGATATTGTGTGCTACCGAACAAATCCCACTAAGCAGTTTGCATTGTTTGTGTATTTTTTTTAATTTACTTGTAACTGCAAACAAGCACCTCCATGTGTCTCTTGCATTTTGAAAATAGCACTGTTTTAACCCTAGAAACAGAAAAACAATATTATGAGTTTTTGTTAAACATAAAAATAGTCTTCAATCGGGACAAAATTAGTATATACTTAAGCGGGAGTAAAATTTATCTACGACAAAAAGAATCATTAAAAAGACAGTTAAAATAAGAATTTTATCCGTTTTTAAATTTGTTAAAAATACTGCATGTATTTTTGGTATTTTAGGGCTAAGCAAAATAATAGTATCTCTAAAACTCTTGTTTCCTTTCCAGTCGGAGGAGGAACAGCGCTCAGGTTCTTTGCCACGTCTGCCTTCCATCACGGGAACTAACACCGCGCCGTCAGGGCCAGTGAAGTCGGCTCGCTATCGAGCACCAGGGTTCCGTACAGCAACTAGAGCCGCATCAGCGCCAGGACTCCACGCGCCAAGGCGACGTAGGCCTCCGCCAACACCACATCAGCCTCCACCGGCGGCGCCTGCTTCCGCACCCAGTTTACAGGGTGAGTTACTTTCTTTTTATCTTAAATTACCGAACGTAAGGATTTTTAATTCATTTATTCATTGTATTTTGGAGGCCTATAGGCTTCTTGTGTAAAAATAAGATATAACTAACTGTTGTCCGCGATTTTGCACGCGTGGTGTCGTGTTTCTCCTCTAAGTTCATATTTTAAAAAATCCTTTCTTAACGGGGATGCTTGCTTTATAAAATAAATGTATGTTCCAAATTTCAGCTTTCTAGACATAGTAGTATTGACTGTGCGTTGATAGTTAATCAAGACAAATGATTTTATAAGTTTAAATTATTCTTTTTAATGTAAATTTTCTCTGTAAGGCCATTTCTCGGTAGGCGACAGACAGAAACAAGTTTTTCATTGATAAATTTCTAATTTTCTAATTACATTTTTATTGGTAATTTAACAACGAAAAACGTTCGTAATTTATGTATAATATAGAAATAGTATTCTTAATCTATGATACGCATATTTATCATTACTTTTAATATTATATATATATATATATATATATATATATATATATATATATATATATATATATATATATATATATATATATATATATATATATATATATACTTACGAGTATAACAGATTTTACCTATCTATATAATAAATAAATTGTACCAGTCAAAAGATCAAACAATTATTTTTTATTAATAAACATTCAGTAATTACTTATCCCATATCTATTCATATTCACTGACAAGATTACAACTTCAATATAGATATCAGGTATTTTTTTTATAATCTAAAGATAATCTTCAAATGTTATATTTATTATTGTTAATATTCACATATTCTATATAATGTATATATTATAATGTATTGATGATAGAAACATTTGCGTTCAATCACAATATAAAATTATGGTTTACAAATGATTTTACTTATCTTTCTGATATTATGTAGCCAATTTGGGAAAAAATTGGAAAAAGAGTCACGAAAGTCAGTTTCGAATAAAAAATACGGTTGCTTCATACATTTTCGAAGTCGGTTAAAAATCAATAACGTAGAAACAGATTTCATGCAACAGCGATAACGACACGTGTTGCTTGAACTAAACATATAAACGTTCGTGCCTTTGCAATAACAAGCAATGTAACATACATTATACTACTTATTTACTATTTTAACCTACTCATTAAACATTTTTTTTAATGAAAGATAGCATTACAAACAAGCTGACGGCCCATTTGATGGAAAGTGGTAACCGTCGTTTATAGATAAACATGTACTCTTCGTGCATGGTCATTCCTAAAGACTAAGGTGTAATGCCTCCATACCCAGTGTTCTTCACTGTTATGTTTGTAGGAAATATACTATTTGTGTTAGTACCAAATAAAAATATTAATAAATTACATATTATTATACTCATATATGTATATGTATATACATATACATATATATATATATATATATATATATATATATATATATATATATATATATATATATATATATATATATTAATAATAATATAAAATTAAAGTACTCAACAGATTTTGATAAAGTTTGTATGGAACCAATCTATTAGTATATCCTTTCAGATAACAAATATTACAGGAGAATTAGAACATCCGTCATTTAAAAGTCGCTTATAAATTAAGATCACAATTCTAATGGATATGTATTCTGTACTAAAGCTTAGATATTATACAAATTTCGATACTCGCTAACAAACCATGACTTTCATTACTCGCAATTACAAATATCAAGCATTGCATCACACTGTACCAATTGCATTTGCGCCAGTCATTGAGAATTTAACAGTTTGCCTACGATATTTAATTTAATGTACACTGGAGAGTAGGTCAGGTAATGTTTGTAGGTTGGACAAGACTCGACGTTGAATACTAAAGAAGTACTTATAGAAAAGCGATTTGTCACGGACGGCTGTTTTGTGTAGTGTACTTCAACCTAAATCATTAGAAATCATGTCATTACTCTTGAACTCAAGTAATTTAATCTAATGTATATAGCTATTATATGAATGATAATTACCATTGTATTAGGAATTGCTCTTAATTAAGTTTTTTTTTAATCAACGACGTTCTAGACACAGAGGTAAGCATGTTGCTTTACCTAAATAAGGTCCCTGATTCAATTACATATTGTACCAATCAATTTAGTAAAAAGGTTTTTTTTTTAAATTGTTATTGGAATTGGTGATAGGTGTATCATTTGTTACTTAGTATTTTCATAATTGTCAAATAATGCTTAATATATTTATAATAATAATTTCGATAATATTAATTACCAAATATAATATAATCAAATTTTATATCTACGTGCAGTGATAGACCAAACTACCTATTGTGGAAAGTTCCATTTTTATGTTCAAATATTAGATTGATCATAATCTTATTGCCAAAGAAATAGACGTAGATATTAAATCATTATAATCATATTACTATACAAAACACTGAAGCGTGATGTTCAATTTTACAAATTTTTTTAATATAATTTGTATATACATGTTAATATGTTCACATATAATAATAAATATTTTAGTTCAAAAGTCACTAAGCGATTGACGATAAGGTACTGCAAACAAGATGTAGCGTGACCGGTATGCAAAATTGATGGACTTTCGTTGTTGGATTCGAATACCTAAATAAAATCATTTTACTGACTTTCGCCGATTTTATTAAGTACAAGCTTTTAGCCGCGACATCGTTCGTGTGACCCAGATAAAAAATAGCCTATATCCTTTTTCGTCCCATATAGTGTATGTAGTAGTATGTGTAAATTAAATTTCATGGTGATTGATTAAGTCATTAAGGCGCTATAGGATAACAAACAAACAAACTCACGTTTATAATATTAGTAAGGATTACACTTAAGTAGGTACAATATGTCTTTTTCAAATCTAATAGGTATATCTATCAGTATTGTTAACAGGACCCCAATTCCGCTAATTACAAACGCTCCAACAGTGTGTAAAACTGTGTCAGTAACATAGTTTTACACATTTGTGCGTACAACTCTCTCAATACTCCATTGACATACCATTGTCACTCAATTGATGTATTTGTAAATAGTAGAATGTACAGGCCCGGGCAAACATTTCAATTTATCTTGTTACTTCAATTTGTCTAATTTACTGAATTGAATTGGTTTTAAATTAAATCGCTCTGTAAGACATTGATTTCAAATCAGAAATGTTTTAATTTTATACAATACATATATGTATACGAGTATGTTAAAAAATTTAAGCATTGTGATAATTAAATAATGCTTATAAATAATATTTAAAAACTGATTTTTGTATTTTTTTATGCAACTTAAAATGGCACATAAGTTTACTTCCCACCTGATGGAAAGAGGTAACCATTGCCTACAGACATGAACAGTACCATGGACATAATAGAGGATACCGTATAACTTATGATACCCTTCATGCATTTCTTTTCTTGAGAACTAAGGTGTTACCTACTTTTCTATAAAACCACAAAATTGTATTCTAAATTTATATATAAAAAAAAGAAGTATTCGTTTGTAATAACACAAAAAATACTTAATCGATTTTAAAAATTCTTTCATCTATAGAAAGCTGCGTTATTAGCAAATAACATAGGCTTTATTTTATTGAAAAAAGTTATCTATTTACCCATACAAAGTCGGGATATGTTGCTAGTTAAATGATGATAATGATATTAGAGTGGTCGGTATCATTACTTTTCAAAATATGGTAATTTGATTACGTAACCGACTAAATATCCTACGCTCGATAAGTCGATTAGCAAAAGATTTCCAAAACCTATTGGGGGCAATGAACTACTGCGATATGAAATAGTCTCGGACCAGTTACTTCATAGTCCTCAACCATAAAGAAATGCGGATCTATATTTGAGAATTATGAATGCTTTATTGAAATATTAGTTGTGTATACGACTTCATTTGTGTGCCCGACATTTGTTGCTTGATTTGAATGAACTCGGAATAGCGTTCTGTTGCGATGAAAATGTCCTTTACATTACAAACCAAATGTTAAGTCCAATAATGTTAACGTGCCAAAAAGTTGCGAATCTCATGCAACTCGTTTTAGTGAAAAAATCTTTTATATGTCTATAAATATAAAAGAGAATGTCGAGTGACTGACTGACTGAACCAATCAACGCACTGCCAAAACCGCTGAATATAGAATCTTGAAATTTTGCAGTTCGGTTCTGTATGCGTTATTCTATCTATTTGCGCAGGTGAACAACGAATTAAAAAAAAGAAACTTTAAAAACTCAACCCCTAAGAGAGCAAAACGGGGATTGAAAGTTTGTTCGTCAGTTTAGAAGTAAGACGTGTAAAATTTTAGATTTAGGCTCATTTATGGTTCAAAACAAACCCCCCGACAAATCGAATAGTATGTGCGAGAAGTCATGCGTAAAAACTGGTTTATATATATTTTTATAAGAAATCGATGACTCAAATTACTTTGTTATAAAAAATTTAAATCCTGTACCCATAAGTCTAGTCAATAGACTGTAGCCGCCGTCACGGTGTTCAGAACAACATGGCCAAGTTTAAAAAGTAGATCTAACTGTTCGTTAAAGTATTTTTGTTCGTGACTATCTTCTTCAGTAAACATACCGACCTTAATGTTTTAGAATTGTTTCTGTATCAAACATTTTCTGCTTGTAGGAAATAGGCTAGATAATATACTTTCTACCTTTCCAGTATGACAACGAGCGACAATCTTCTGTACACTAAGATACATAAATGTACGATACTGTTGCTAAATCGATCGATCGAGTTAATTGTGCTGAGTTTGATGACTTGTGTTTTTTTTTTTAATATTACCTTTTTGCAAGCTTTTATTTTATTTTAACTTGCTTTAGTATTGAGTCTTTCCGTATGAAAGTAACCTATTTTTTAACCATTTGCTAGCGTCCGATTGTGCTAAAATTTGACACAGTGATGTATGTTCGATGACAATATACTATGATAGTGCTAATGAGATAGTCTTATGACGAATGATCCTATGATTA